AATTTGATAGCATTGTGATCTGAGAAGATGCTTTGCAGTATTTTAGTGTTTTTAAATTTATTAAGGCTTTCTTTGTGGCCTAATATATGCTTTTTTCTGGAGAATGTTCCATGTGCACTGAGACGAATGTATATTGTGCTATTGTTGGATGAAGTGCTCTGTAGACGTGTATAAGGTCAAGTTGGTGAATGGTGAATTGTATTGTTTTGTTGTTCTCTGTCTTTGTTGAGTTTCCTTCCAGTTCTTATATTTCATTGAAAGTGGTATGTTAAAGTCTCCTACTATGACTGTGGTATCATCTATTTGCCTTTTCAATTCTGGTAAAATCTGATTTATGTATTTTGGGGCCCTTTCATTTGGGTATATAGATATTTATTATAGTTAATAGTTATGTCCTCTTGCTCAGTGTATCCTTGAATCATTCTATAATGACTTTCCTTGTCTCTTATGGAAGCTCTGGTGGCATAGTGCCTAAGGCATTTGACTGCTAACCAGAAGGTTGGTGGTTCAAACCCACCAGCCACTCCTTGGAAGAAAAGTTGAACGATCTACTTCTGTAGTGATACAGTCTCGGAAACCCAAGGAGGGGTCGCTATGAATCGGATCCGACTCACCGGCAGTACACTTGGTTTTGGTTTTTGTCTCTTATGGTGGTTTTTATCTTAAAGCCAATTTTATCAGAAATTAATATTGCCATTCCTGCTTTTTTATGGTTGCTGTTTGCATGATTTATCTTTTTCCACCCTTTTATTTTGGTCTATTTGTGTCTTTTTTTCTAAGGTATGTCTCTTGTAGACAGCATAATGATGGGTTATGTTTTCTTATCTAGTCTGCAACTCTCCATCTTTTGAGTGGTGCCTTTAGTCCATTGACATTCAGTGTAATTATCGACAAATATGAATTTGTTGCTGTCATTTTGTTATGTGTTTTTTCATGGTGTTAGTGACTTCTTTATTCCATATAATTTTCTGTGCTGAGCTGATTTTGTTTATTAATCATGTTATCTCTTCCTTCATTGCTATTGTTTTAACCAAGAAAACCAAACTCACTGCCGTCACGTTGGATCTGACACATAGCGATCCCTCCTAGGGTTTCTAAGACTGTATCACTACAGAAGTAGATTGCCCAACCTTCCTTCCGAGAAGTGATTGGTGGGTTTGAACCACCAGCCTTCTGGCTAGCAGTCAGATGCCTTAGGCACTACACCACCAGAGCTCCTGGCTATTGTTTTAGTATTTGTTAAATATTTGTGCTTGTCCTCTTTTTTTTTATTTTGATGTGAAGGTTTATCATTTTCCTTTGAGTTTGCCCTGTGATTTATAATTTTCTTCCCAAGAATACAACAGTTCATTCTATCTTGTAATTTGTCTTGACTTTCTCACCCTTTAGAAGTTCTATAACTCTACTGTTTTTTTTCCCTTTTTCTGCTTTGTAGGTATCCTCAGTTGGCAATTGATGTCTCTGGTTCTCTGTTTACAGTGTTATAGACTGACTTACTTTGGATACTTCCACAACTGGGTTGCTTTCTGGGTTATGTCATCATGTATGTTAATGGTCAGTTGTTTGCTGCTGTTTCTTCTCTGTCCGAAGGACTCTTTCAGCATCTCTTATAAGGTTGATCTGGTTTTAACAAATTCCTTTATTTCTGCTTATTTGGAAATGTCCTAATTTCACTACCATATTTGAGGAACAGTTTTCCTGGGTATATAATTCTTGGTTGGAAATTTTGTTATTTTCAGCAGTTTATATATATCATGCCATTGCCTTCTTGCCTGTGTGGTTTCTGCCAAGAAATCAGAGCTTAGTCTTATTGGTTGCCTTTTGTAGGTAATTTTTCATTTTTCCTGTGCTGCTTTCAGGGTTTTTTCTTTGTCTTTGGTTTTGGTGAGTTTGATGATGATATGTCTTGGTGATTTTCTTTTAGAGTCTGTCATGTTTGGGGTTCGTTGGACTTCTTCAGTGTATATATTCTTGTCTTTCATCATTATCAGAGAAATTCTCTTCCAATAAATCTTTGACAACTTTCTCTGGGTTTTTTTTTTTTTTTTTGGTCACTTCCTGTCCTGGAAATCTAATTACACATAGGTTATTCATTTTGATGGTATCCCACATGAATCTTAGGCTTTCTTCATTTTGTTTTGTTCTTTTTTTCTGATTGATCCCTTTCCAAAGAAGTATTGAGGCATTTGTCTTCAGTCTTGCCAATTTTATCTTTCATTGATTCTGTTCTACTCCTTTGTCCATTCCATGTGTTACCTATTTCTGAGAATTTAGTATTAATCTTTGAAGTTCTATTTGTAGATTTTGTATCATATCATAGCATATCATAATTTTTTCATTTATTTTTTCAGTGTTTTCCTTGGTCTGTCTCTCAATCCATTGAAGGTACCTAAATATAATTATTTTCAATTTCTTAGCAGGAATGTCCAATGCTGCTTCTTCCTGAGGGATGTGTTCTGGGTCTGTATCCTGGTCCCTTGTTTGTACTGCTTTGTCTTGCTTCTTTGTGTGGACTGTGAAGGTCTGTTGTCTCTGACACATTGTGACATTTTTGCATTTATATTTAATTGGTGAATGTATGTTGGAGTGATTTGCCCAAAATTTTGGTTTTCTTTGGATGTATCTGAGTTAGAAGTGTACTGTGCTCCTCTGTTCGCTAGTTGGTAGCACTTATGCACTTATCACTTGTCTCCTATCCAGTCCTCAGCCACTAGTATATCTGTGCTTTTCTTGGGAAGCGAGCCTTTTCTTAGGTTCGTGGGATCTTAACGAGAATGCTGTCACTTTAAATATCCAAAATGGCCAGTGCTTCTAAACATTCAAAATAATTGCACCCTCTGAACAGTCAAAAGGCCACAGCTCAGTTTGTCTCCTTCTTTGCTATTTCTCTTGTTGGTCATTAGCCACCAGTGCAGTTGTCTATGCTGCCCTTGGTGAGGAGGGCCAATTTTTAGGTTAATTCTCTGATCCTAACACCAGTTGGAAATGTTCAAACTGCTCATGCCATCAATATGACTGTTTGCAGCTCCATTTTTCTCCTTTTTCACAGTTTTCATTCAGGTTCTTCTATTAGTTGGTGTTTAATCCAATTCCATATCCTTCCTTTCACATCTCAGAGCTCCAGGATTATCTTCTTTGTCTGTGTCAATTGATTTTTTTGTTTTAATGGTGTGAACAGTCTTTATTGGTGGCAATGGGATGTGAGAGTGGGGATAGACAGTTCTTGCTTCAGATGCAGCATTTAGAGTCAGAGTCTAAGTGGCAGCCCTAGGAAAGTGATTTCTCTTTTCTTTGTTGAAAAGGGTCTGTGTAGCTTGTCTGCCTATTTCACCGTATTACTGGAAATCTGCTCCTCTGACTGCTTTTAATAATTTCTCCTAAAAGCAGTTTAATCGTTGTATGCCTTGTTTTGAGCAATTTAATTATTAAACATCTTAGTTTAGTTTCTCTCATGTTTCTTATGGTTTACATTCATTGAGGTTCTTCATTTGTAAGTTTCTCTTTGAAGTTTTAAATTTGTTTGGGATGTTTTTTAAAAGCCATTAGTTCTTCAGATATTATTTTTTCTCCTTCCCCTCTGTTTCTGAGACCTTAGTTTCACAAATTTCAGATCTTTTGATGTCATCCAAAAGATCTCTGAGATTTTTCTTACTTTTAAAATCTTTTTCTTTGCTGTTCTTCAGATTGAATGATATTGCTGGTTTTTATTTATGTTTACTGACTTTTCTATGATCTTCATTGTGATATTGAGCTTACACAGGGATTTATTTTATTTCAGCCATTGTATTTTTTCAATTCCAAAATTTTCATTTGATTCTTTGTTTTATAGTTTTTATAGCTATGATAGGGAGCTCTGGTAGCAGCATAGTGGCTAAGACACTTGCCTGCTAACCAGATGGCTGGCGGTTCAAACCCACCAACCACTCCTCGGAAGGAAGGTTGGGCAATCCTACTTCCGTAGTGATACTGCCTCGGAAACCCAAGGAGGGGTTGCTATGAGTCGGGTTTGACTCAGCGGCACATAACAACAACAACAACAACATAGCTATGATAAGGAACTGTGGTGGCACAGTAGTTAAGGCACTTGGCTGTTAACCAGAAGGTCAGTGGTTCAAGCCCACTGTTCTAGTGGGAGACAGATGAGGCAGGCTGCTTCTGTAAAGATTTACAGTCTTGGAAGCCCTATGGGATAGCTCTACTCTGTCCTATAGGGTTACTATGAGTCAGAATTGATTTGATGGCAGTTTGTTGTTGTTGTTGTTGTTATGTTGTTTAAAACAGTCTCTGTTTTAAAGAGTCTCTTTTCCTCGTTTTCTGGCTAGAAAGAGAGAGTGTATCCCATATTATTTATGTTTGTATGTTAGGAGGAGTCTTGGTGGCACAGTGGTTAAAGTATTTGACTGCTAGCCTAGCGGTTTTAGAATCCGCTAGGTGCTCTGTGAGAGAAAAGACCAGGCAATCTGCTCTCACAAAGATTTTAGCTTAGGAAGTCCTATAGGACAGTTCTACTCTGTCCTGTAGGGTTGCTACGACTTGGAATTGATTCAACAGTACATAAGAACAACATCATCACCTTTTGTGATGGCAGTTTGAACCCCCTCAGCACCACCATGGGAGGGAGGCCTGGTGATCTGCTGCTGTAAAAATTACAGCCTAGAAAACCCTATGGGACATTCTGTCCCATGGGTCTATGAGTCAAAATTGAGTCAATGCGCCTAACAGCAGCATATCTGTCACACAGCTCCACGTCTCAGATCAACACTAGGAGATAGAGAAGAAACGGTAAATGCATCATGGTTCTGGCTGTTTTTCAAGCTTTGACTTCTCTCTATCATTTAGTACTTTATGCAAAGTTTTTCATTATAATCAATAGCAAGAAAGAGGCTTGTTGAACACTGGTGGTGTCAGAAATGATTTCATACTTAAAGCACTAATAAAGATATTTGCAGGATTGGGGTAAATGGGTTCACAAATTTGAATAAATACATTTTGATTTCTAGTGTTTTATGTCAGGAACCAAATGAGAAACCACTGAGATTGGCTGAGAAGAAAGAATACAATGAGAAGAATGGCTGTGTCAAGTAAGAGTTTTTTTCTTGGCCTGCATTTTATATTGTTAACATTGTAGCAAAGCTGTCAGTGGGAAGAATTTGCATATTATTTTAATTTTAATTTCAAACATGCCCATAAAAAAGAGTACAGTAAATCTCCTATAACCTTTTTT